CCCCACACCTCCTACCCGCCTCAGCGCGCTCCCTTCTTTACTTCTCCAGCTGTAGGACTCCCATTCAGCCAGCTCTCCAGCGGCTCTGGATGGTGGTGCTCTGTGTTTTAGTTGTAACTGTGATGTGATTGTGGGAGGCGGTGAGTACAGGCATTTGCCTGAGCCGCCATCTTCCTCCCCTCTCTTTAGAAGGTTCTTAAGAGACTTGTGACTGCAAAGATGTGGGAGCGCCTGTGTGCATGTGTTGGGAGGTGGAGGTGCCTGGAGACACACAGAGAAAGTGGGGGGGGGCTGCGAGGAGGGGCCTGTCAGGCTTGATCTTCGTGGGTTTGTTTTTGACTTGATGCTGACTCTGGAAATGGATTGATGTGGGGGTGGGGGCCAGAGAGGCAGACAGGAGAGGGAAGCTTTCAAAGCTATAGCCATGGGAAATGTTTTTCTTTTCTGCTTGAAAGAAAATGCCAAAGAAAGTTTTTTTTGTGTTTTTTTTTGTGTTTTTTTTTTTTAAGGGAAGGTGGTGAAGAGAGAGTGCAAGAGACTGTGTGTGTGTGTGTGTGAGAGAGAGAGAGAGCCAGCCAGACAGACAGACATCCTGGGAGCCTGTGGGTGTGTGATGCTCCCTGGAGCCTGTGAGTAGAGATGCCGCCACAGGCCATGGGGCACCGAGGGGAAGGCAGCAGGTGGAGGCTGGGCTTGCTTGCTGCCCCTAAAGCCTGGTGACCTTAAGGGGCCGCCCACCCCGCAGGGACCCTCTGAGCGTGTGTATGACAGGCACAGTGGCGGGACAGACTGTTGTGCAAGTGCAGAAAGTAACGCCCAGGGGTTGTGTGTCAGAACCAGAAGCCTCAGGGAGACAGCAAACGGGACTGACTCTCCAGGTGCCCCAGGGGCTGGACATGGGGGGGGGGGGGAGGAGGCTCAGGGCCAGGCCTCCTGAGCTCCTAGCTCAGCCCTCCAGCCAGGAGTATGCCCTGGGCAGCCTGACCTCATGTGGCCCCAGGCCAAATGGACTCCCACTGACCTCTGACCTGTCACCTCCCTGAGTGGAGGACAGGAGAGGCCCTAGAAGGTGGAGGATTGATGGGCTAGGGCGGTAAAGGGGGTGGCAGGGTGGAGCGCGTTCTTGCCGGGCGTCTGCCTTCTCTAAGCTGGTCTGGTTGGGCCCGGGCTCCCAGGGGCGCTGGGCTCCACATCTGTGTCCCCAGCCCCCACCTGCCTAGCTGCCACCTCTCAGCTGTATGAACATGTCACCTCTGTCTGCACCCCAGGCTTCTCACCTGTGAAGCTGCAGGGCGGTAGCAACATCAGGAGGGCCTGTGTGCACAGAGGAATGCTCAGAAGAGGGGCCCGTGAGCACAGAGGAATGCTCAGACATGAAAGGGACCTGGGAGGGTCTGCAGGCAGCAGCGGGCGGCCTGGATTGGAGGGGGCCACGTGGGTCAGGGCAATGGGGAGGGACGGAGGCCCCCTCTGGGAGCCAGGCTGGCGGTGGAATTTCTCCAGGATTCTCAGCTTGCACAGGCCTGCCAGGGAGGGCTTGGGGGGGCCCAGCGGCCCAGCACCCCAGCGACAGCAGAGGCCGCAGCCCCCTCCCAGGGGCAGACTCCCCACAGAGAACAGCGCCCCTCCCCCCAGGCAGCCCCTCCCCCCCACACGTGCTGCCAAGCCCTCCATTAGTCACCCTGGCACGGACATAACACGAATCCCATTAGTCACACCCGCACAGACTCGCCTACAGAACACACCCAGGCACACCCAGACAAAGGAGGCCCCACCAGGTCCTATTTGCCCTCTCTCTCCCTGAGTGCCTAGAACCGTGCAGGCACCTCAAGGCGCCCACGAACACGTGGTCAGCCTCCCCCAGAGCAGCCAACTCCCACAATAAGTTCCCCACAACCAGCGCCGAGGGCTTCCCCAGTAACCACAGTCCCCCCCACCCCATCCCCCAGACCTCCAAACCTCCCCCATCCCTTCTGTGCACACAAGGACCACAGTGGATGCCCACGAATGACCTTGGCCATCCCCCCTTCTGCCTCTCGGGGTGGGGGTGGGGGCGCGGCAGGCCTCGTGTCCCCCTCCCCAGGCCTGCCCTCCCACGTCTAGCAGAAAAGCCATTCCCCAAGGTCAGCAGAGCGCTCAGCGGGCGGGAGGGGGTTTATTGGCGGGTTATTTGGAGAAATGCTATCGCTCTTAGATGCCGGGGAGAAAGCGCTCACGGTGGACTTTAACCTTGGGCTGCAGCCGCAGCGCTTTGTTTTCGGAGGCACTTCCTGGAGCGCGGTGGCGGGTGGGCGGGGGCGGCGCGGGAATGTGGCCGGGCAGCCGCTCCGCTCCAGGGCCGCTGCCCCGCCCGCTCAGGCCGGCGCTCAGAAGCCTCTGGGCCCGGCCTCGGTCCTTCCATATGTGCTAGAAATTCTGAGAAGCCGAAGCTCCAGGGTGAGAGCCTTTGGGAGGGCGCTAAACCCCTGCCTCCCGCATCTGCCACCGACGGGTAGCAGTCGCATCGCTGGCGCGGGAGGTCCTCAGGGGGCACCCAGGGGGTGGCGAATGCTCCCTCTGCCATGGCTGCCCCCACCCTCAGTCCCGAGCAAAAGCTTGGTGGGAGGCCATGGTCCCTGACCCCTGCCTGCTGCGCTGCTGCAGGACACCCTGTGACCAAGGGACAGTGCTGGTGGCATTAAGCGTTCTGATTGCAAACGCACCCTCTCTGGGCGCCCCTGGACTGTCGAGGTAGAAAGACTGCCTTCCCTCCCAGGCTGCCACCAGCACCCACGATTCCTCCTTTCCAGGGGGGCTATTTGCATGAAAGCGGGTGGCCGACTGGGGCCCCAGTGGGGTGGGCGTTGAGGGGAAGACCGGCTGGCGTGGATGGGGAGCCAGATGAGCCCCCACCTCCAGGTGCAGCGCCGCAAACACCCTGCTTGGCCCTCACAGCGCAAACAAAACAACAAAACAAAACATCACACACACACACACACACACACACACACACACACACACACACACACACACACACAACCCTCCCGCATCCAGCGCTGGCAGAAGGCGCGAGTAAGGCGGGATCTTCGGAAATGGGGGGCAGGCTGGGTTCTGAAAAGCTGCTCAGACCCTGACGCCGCCGTCTCTCCTCGACGGTGCGGGTGACCCCGGAGTTGGGCTCAAGCGGGTGGCCGCTCGCCCGTCCCAGGCTCACCGAGCCTTCAGAGGAGTAAGTGCCCGGCGCTGGCGCCGAGACCCCAGGCAGCGGTTCAGTGAGGCCCGGCGACTGCGGAATGGCTGTGGCGGCACCTAGTTGGAGAGGCCGTTCCCTCTCTTTGGAAAAAGGGGAGGCTCTTGGCTTGACTCCCCTCGCAGTCTGGGGGTCCCCAGGCCGTGACCCGGAAAGCAGGCGCCGGGGCGGCCCGGGGTGCGAGGCCAGCCGGGAGCCTCCGCCCGCGAGCCGCGGGAAGGAGGGTCCGCGCGGAGATTTATGGCCACACCGGCCCCCTGCGCGCCGAGAGCGTTTCCGTCCTCTCCGAGCCAAACGGTGGAGTGGAAGACGCGACCCGGGCCGGGAAAAAGCCGGGGCCAGAGATGGAGCCGAGAGGCGCCGGGATCCGCCGGGCGGGCCTGCAGCTTCAGCCCCGCTCTGCCCGCCGCGCGCCCGGACCGTCGCAGCGCTGGCGCCGAGTCCCTGGTGCTCCCGGAGGCCTGGGGCTGCTCCCGGCTGGGCTGCCGGCCTCCGGGCGCCGCGTCGGGGCTGGGCCAGCAGCAGCGCGGGGATGGCGAGCGTGGCTTTCCCGGGCCGGACCTCTCCGGGTTTTAGCGGCGTCCGGGGGGAGCTCCCTGGGTGCGGGACCTGGGACCTGGGACCTGGGACCGGAGCTTAAAAGCCGCGGCCAGTCTCCCCGCGCGCAGCCGAGGGGGGTGGGGGGGAAGCCTGGCGGGGCGCGGGGACTGCGGCCCCGCCGGGGAAGGCGGCTCGGGGCTAAGGGTGGAGGTGGCTCGGGGGTCCGCGCCTGGGAAAGGAGGTTTCTTTTGTTTTGTTGTTTTTTTCCCCGGGAAGGGGTAAGGGAGGAACATAGCCACTCGGCCAGCAAGGCCGGGGTTCTGGGCAGCGCCGCGCGGCCCGGCCCTGGCGCAGCGGGGGAGAGCTGGGCTCAAGGTTGGCCTGTCCTTCGCTCTGCAAACAAAGGGGACACTTTGTCAGATGGGCCGCCTCGGAGCGGGGCCGGGGCCGGCGGCCTGGGCTATGCAAAGGCCTGGGCGGGTTCTGCGGGAGCTGAGGTTTGGGGTTGCGAGCCCCCCTCCAGCCGATTTTCCGCTCAGTCAGTACAAACACACACATGCACACCCTGCGTCAACACTCCCGCTGGCCGCGCTCCGCGGGTAGACCAAGAATGTGGGGGGAGGGGACGAAGATGGCGGCCGGCTCCGGGCCGCCCCCGCCGCTCGCGGAGCGCCCAGGCCTGGCTTACATTTCGGGGTGGCCCAGTAGAGCGGGAAGGGCGCACCCCGAGACCCGGAAGGCCGGCAAGGGGTGCCCCAGAGGCCCCTGCGCGGCGAGGGTCTGCGATGGAGCCGGGCAGCGCCCACTACCCGGCTGCGGACGTCCCCCGCCCTAAGATGGCTCCCGGCCGCTGTTTATCCGGAGACGGCGGGGCCGCCGGGGCGTGGGGCCGGGCGGGGGCGAAGATCGGGGCGCGCACGGGGCTGCCCGCTCCCGCACCCACGCCCGCTGCAGCTCGGAGAGCCGGCGCGGCCAGCGTCTGTGCAGTCGTCCGGCCCAGGGCACCAGCCGCCGCCTCCGCTGCCCCAGGCCCTGCACCCGAGCCGGGCCCCGCGGGTGCGGTGTGCGCGCGCGGGGAGAGCGGCGCCAGGGGCCGGGTCCATCAAGGCTTGGGAAGAAGGGCTGGGGGAGGGGGCCTCGCCTGCCCCGACCCAGGGCCCTAATGAAATGCAGGCTCGGCTCGCCACGCCGAGGAGGCGCACACTTGGAAAATGCAAACGCCATTGGCAAATCCAGGGCAAACATGCAGAATTTTTATTAGCAACTAAATGATTTATGGCACACATGCCCCGCCGTCACAATTACGGCGTCTTGGAGCATCCAGGGGGGAAAACATTAAACATTTATAAAAATAGGCTTTGTTATTTTCCACCCTGCGAGCGCTTTGTGTTCCCCACCCCGGCTCTCAAGACACATTTTTTTCCTTGCGCTATATTAAAAGAAAAGAAAACATTCCAGACCTGGGCGGAGACAAGGGGTGAGGGGAAGCGGGGTCTGAGCTCCGAATATTGGAGGGCAACCCGAGGGGTGGGGAAGCGACGGGGCTCTGGCGTGGGAGGGTTTACAGGGAGCCCACAAAGGCCTCAGGATAAGAGTGGAGGACGCTCGGCGCCCACCAGGGCTGCGCCCCCGCGCTCGGCCCCTTCCCCTGCCCGGGCTTCCAGCAGCCTCGCCAGCACAACTGCGTTTATTTTATTTCTGCAGCCATCCCCCTCCTCCAAGGAACACAGACACAATACCTCCTTTCTCTCCCCTCACCCCCTCCTCTCCGTCTCTGCTCCTGGCTGCCCGGAGCTGCCCCGGCCGCCACCGAGACCTGTGCGCCCTGCTCCAAGCGAGGACACCGCCGCTAGTTCCCCTCGGATTCGGCTATTTTCGTTCCTTTCTTCTTTCCTTCTCACCCCTCCTTCCTCCCCCCGCGGAGCTTCTGCTTCCAAAAGAGGGCAGCCTAGAAACCAGCGCTGGAGGCTTCAGGAAGGGCAACTTGAAACTGTCCTCAAGGGGCTGAACTTTCCCCCCAAATTTATTCTGGAATTAAATGAGACAGCCCCAGTTAGCTCTGGACGCTCACCCCTCTTGTTTCCTAAAAGTGGATAAAAGAAAATAGAACTAATGGGCGCTAACTAGCTAATTTCCCCCTCTCCCAAGAAAAGTTGCCTTAAAAATTTATTTAAAAAAATAGAACAGGCAATGCCAAACGCTGAGTCCGCAGTGCGAGGCGGGGGGGGGGGGGGGGGGAGAAGAGCGGGGTCCTCTTGTTTTAATTAAAATCCAATCACCGCGGTAGCTCGCCGAGGCTGGAGCGGCAAGGAGTCTGCCCTTCCCAGCTTCCTACTGAGGGTACGTAATGCCTGGCCGTTCCCGCCGGCTGCGGAGGGTGCGGGGTCTCTCCGACACGCCGCATCCGCGCTCCTCACGCCAGCAGCCAAGTAGGTTGCCGCGGGCAGCTCCCGGCAACTCAAACCAGAAAGGATTTTGCTGAAAGCGCAAAACAAAAGTACGAAGTCTGGGGGATGGAGGCTCCCCTCCCCCTCAGGCCACCGCGGCCAGCCAAGCACTTTTTGGGCTTGGCTGCTGCTTCCTCTGAGCTCAACAGATTTTTCCCCCCCCCCCCCCCGGTTTCACCCTCCCTGGAGGGGGCGCGGCGGATGGAAGGCGAGAGAGGCCCCCAGCCAAGAGGTTTTTAATATTACACTTTAATAGGTTTCAGAAGGCCCCGTGGAGAAATGCTAATGGGCTGAAATGTCAGAATCAAGAGGGAGTCGGCTCGCGCTCAGCCGATCTAATCCTTTTTTCTGCTGATTTTTTTTGTGGGGGAGGGGATAGGTGGGGAGTGCCCACGCCAAGAGAGGCTTTGGGGAGGGGCGCACGGTGCAAAGCACCGCAGCCCCGGCCGGGGCCGTGGGGGGAGCGCGCCCCAACCCGCGTTTCTATAGGAACCCCTTTTAGAAGATTAGAGACTCACCCGCTGCCGGCCGCCGAGGCCTCGCCAAAATATTAATCAGTAACCATCTGACACCGCGTTTCAGGGAGGGACCCGCAGGCCTGGGCTAGGAAAGCGACCTTCTCGCCAGCCCATCCTACCTAACCGCGCTGCTGGGGGGAGAGGGGATGAATCGCTGCTTTGTTTTAAAGGGGGGGGGGGCGGGAGGAAAAAGCAGCCCTGGTCTGTTTTGGCGTCGCCACCGCGCGTTCTAGAAGGCGCGTCCCAGGGGTGGAGGGGGACCGGAGCTCGGGCGCGGGGTGCAGCCTGCTGGGCCCCAGGCCCTTCCCGGTTCGCTCGGCTTGTCACCTCCTCCTGCGAGCAGGAAGCTGACAGGCGGTCCATTAAACCGCGCCTTGCAAAGCCCAGGATTGCGGCGACAACCATCTTCCTCTATTTTGATCACTAAGCCCAGACGCTGGGGGAGGGGGAGGAAAAGGGAGGAGGAGGAGGAGAAGGGGGGTTGTCGGAGCCGGTGGAGGGGGAGGGCTGCCTAGAAACGGCCCGGAAAAATTCTCACCACCAGTTTTGATCATTCAGCCCCGCCGAGGGGAGCCTGGAAACTGCTGGAGCCCCCAGGTCCGTAATTGGTTTTATAGGAATGGCTGAGGGCCAAGGTGTTTACATGCGCGTGACTGGCGGCGCGCGCGGCCAATGGGTGGCGGCCGGGGGCCTGCCCGGGGGAGGCGGGCACCCGGGAACAATGCGTGTTTCTTCCGCGAAGAGTGCTCCCCTCCCCCAGCCGGCCCTTTCCCTCGCCACCCCCCCCCCGGCTTTTTTTTTTTTTTTTTTAGATCCAGCGAGAGGAACTTGAAAGGGGGGTTGTGTAACGTACCTTTTCCAATCCCGGGCTGTATATGGAGATTTGGGATTCTTTAAACCGGCGCTACCTGGATTTTATTAAAAAGCTGGGAGCTCGGCGGGAGGAAAGCTGGCTTTTCCGGGGGCTGCGGGAGCCCGGCCGCGGGAGGGCGGAGGAGTTGGCGCGCCAAGAGCTCGGCCCGGGGAGCGGTTTTCAACCAAAAAAAGGAAAGGCGGGCAAAAAGTGTGAGGAGGCTGCGGGTGGCGAAGGGGAGCAGCGGCCGTGGGATGGCGGGCAGCACGGGCGCCTAGCCGCGCCGGGAGCCGGGGCCGCCAGCGGAGTCGCCGTCGCCAGACCCCGGAGCCGGGAGCCCTGCCGCGCCAGGTATGCCGCCGGGTCGCACGCCTGCCCCTGGCCGGGCGCTGCGGTCTCCGAACTTCTCCAGCTGGCCCTCCACCGCACTTCACCCTCGGGGTGTGCCGGGGGATCCCCGCAGCTTTCCGGGGGCCAGGACCGGCGACGTGGGGGCGCCTTGGGAGGGGTAAGGGTGGGGGTTAGCCGCTGCTCCCGGGCTCCCCACTTGAGCCCCCAGCCCTGCTCCAGCCCGCCCAGCCGGGTCCAGGGGCGTCGGTTCCCTTCTCGGTTCAGGCAGGCGATGGGGGAGCCAGGGTTTGCCGAGACGTCCTCGATTATAGACTGTTTTTAATTAAAAGCCGGAATTCAGCCATTTTAACTGCATTTAAGAGGGGGAGAAAGTAGGGAGAACGCAGCGATCCCGCAGATGGCCGAGCCAGCTTCTCTCCCAGAGCGAGGGTGCTCCGGGGGGCTCCACCTCGACTCCCCCAAAGCGCTGGCTTTTAGAAGAAAGCTGCACAAAGAACATTCTTTAAAAATCACGGGAAGCTCATCGCCTCCCTAAGACACGTATCCTCGGATGTGGCGATTTTAGATTTTTCCGAAGTAAACGCGGATCTGGTAACCAGAGCCTGATGGGAGGGAGGGAGGAAGAGGGTGGTTGTAACCAAAACCGGGTTAAAATAAGCAAAGTTGTGGAGGAAGGCTGGAGGGGGAGGCCGGGGTTGGCGGCCACAGGGTCTGCAGCGCGGGGCCGGGGCAGGCGCCGGGAGCCGGGAGCCGGGGCTTTGGCGTGACCGGCGGCTCTAGGAGCGCCCGGCCTCCCGCAGTCAGGGATCCGAGCTGCTGCGGGCGGACCGAGAGCGAGGGCAGGGCTGGCTCCAAGACCCCCCTCCCGCCCCCACGGGAATGGGCAGCCGACAAATCTTTTAAACAAACAGCTTTAAACTGGAACTACAGGGGATTTGCCCAACGCTGGGGGAGCCGCCCCTCGGAGCGAAGGTTTTCTTTGTAGGTTATTTTTGGGGTTGGGGGAAGCTTGCGTAAGAGCCAGACCCCGGAGCCCCTGCCGTCCCCTCTGACACCCCCCAGATGCCCGCGCCTGGCCACGTCCGCGGGCCGCAGGATTCCCAGGCCGGGGCGTTGGAAAATGAAACCAAAGCTTGTTGGGAAGGATTCTTTTCAGTCCTCGGGCGAGAATGCCACGTCTCGGCTCTCGGACTCAAGACTCCGCAACCCACAGTGGCCCGAGGGGCCCGGCGAGTCCCCGTAAACATAACCATCTTGGCACCCTCTCTCCCGAGAAATCCTGGAGTTCGGCTCCCGGGGACGAGCTCAGGGAAACCACACTCCGTAGAGGAAGGCGAGGGCCTCCGAAGGTTAAACATTAAACTTTCCGGATCAGATAGTGGCACAGGGCTAGACAGTTGGAACTGCTCTTGGAAAGGTTTCACGGTTTGAAACCTCGGAGCCGGTGAGGCCCAGGAGTCAGACCCGCGTTGGCGGCTTGTCTCTGTGCGCCCGGCGGTGGCGGGCCTCCCTCAGTGTTGGGAGGACCGGCCGGCGAACCGCCTGGCAGAGTCGGGCTGGGCGCAGCGCGCCACCCGCCACGTTCCGAGTCGGGCGGCCGCCCGCAGCCGCCAGCGGAAGGAGTGTGTATTTTTACATTTTACGGAGAAGGGGCTCCTCCCGATTCCATGTCTGGCCACCGCATCCGCAGCCCCGGACCCCGAACGGCAAGACGACTTTCTGAAACTTGTTTTTGTTTTTTTCTTCCCCTTTTTTCTTTCCTCCCTTCTATTTCTCCCGCGGCCCGACTTCTCTCCCCGCCAAGACGCCGAGTGCGCCGCCCCGCGCAGCTCCGCCTGGCCGCCGGGAGGGGCCCGACGACCGACCGCTCGTGCGCCCCGGGCCGCGGGCCCGCCGCTGAGCGCAAGCCCCGCTGGCCCCCGCCGCCATGCCCGCCGCGGAGCCCCCGCCGCCCGAGGACTCTGGGACTACGCCGAGGCCGAACTTTTAGGTCCCGCTGAGCGAGGCCCGCGGGCCCGGTGGGGGGCTGGCTGCGGCACTCCCGCGGAGGATGGATGGCCGAGACTTCGGGCCCCCACGGTCCGTGCACGGCCCCCCGCCGCCGCTGCTGTCCGGCCTGGCCATGGACAGCCACCGCGTGGGCGCGGCCACGGCAGGACGCCTGCCCACCTCGGGCTTGCCGGGCCCTCTGCCGCCGGGGAAGTACATGGCCGGCCTCAACCTCCACCCGCACCCGGGTAAGTGCCCTGCGCTGTGCTCGCCCCTGCTTGTCTCCCCGGATCCAGAACACACAGTATTTGTTCTGTTCTTCGTGGCCGGGATGCAGCGCCTCCCTCTATCCCGGCCGGTCCGTGGGGGCGCGGGCGGTCTCGGCTCCCGAGGCGGGGAGACCCTGGGACCAGGGCCGAGGGCGGCCCGGAGGCGCTGGCGGAGAGGGCTGCGCGGCTCCGCCGCCTTCCCGCGCCGGGCCCTCCCCAGGCGCACTCCTCCGCCGCAATTGGAGCCCCGGGGACGATCCCAACCCCAGAGCCCCTGCGGCGAAGCCGGGATTTGCAAAATCTGGGCGAGAAAAGAACAAACAAGCCCCGCATCCTTTGGGACTCCGTGCCCGGGAAGCTCCAGTCTATCTCTTGGCAAATGCCCTTGCCCGCGCCCGTGGGCCCCGGTTCCGTTCCTGGCTCCTCCGCTCCTGCGGTGCGGGGTCTCCCGCCCGCCCCGAGCGCCTGGGGTGCCGGGAGGATGGGGGGCCCGGCCCTGGACCTGAGCCTCCGGCAGGTGGGCGGCGGCCCTCGGGAGACTCCTCGCCCCCCCCCCCCCCCCGGAGAACCGCAGTTCCAGGGCCCAGGCCCCGGTAGGACAGCAGCGCCCGGCCTCGCGAACCCCTTGTGCTCCCGCGGGAAGGTGCGCGGCGGGGACGCAGAAACTGGGCCGCCGGCGCCGGGGCAGGAAGCGGGGAGGCCGGGCTGGAGCGGCGGAGAGAAAGGCCGAGTCTGACATTTCATTCCGGAGGAGGCGGCCGGAGACGCAGCGGCCTTCGCTCTTTCCTGGAGGGGCTGCCCGGGCTCGTGGGGCGGCGCGGCGGGGGGAAGGTGGCCCCGCGGCCGCTCCGGGCGCGGTGGGAAGGAGTCTCGGGCCCTCCCGCCCGAGTTGCCACCGGCCTCCGCCGGGACCGGTCCCTCCTCCCGGGCTGCCTCCGGCCTCGGTGCCCGGCGTCCCACGGGCTTCGGCGGGTGGAAGCCCCCTCCCCCTCCCCCTCCCCCTCCCCCTCCACGGTGTAGTCCGGGCGCGTGGCCGCTCAGGGAGCCCCGCGGCTGCCCTCGGCCGCGGGTTCTGGGCGAGGACACCGGCCGCTGCGCTGCCCCGGCCCTGCCCGCCCGCCCGCCCGCCCGCAGCGCTGCCGCTGCCGCTGCCGCTGCCGGGTTGGCCTTATCGCTCCGGTTTTTCTCCGGGAACTTTTCAGGAACCGGAGTCCCGGGACCAGCCGGACAAAGGGCCTTTGTGAGGCACCGGGCGGGGGAGGGGCGGCTCGGGGACGGGAACGCGGAGATCCCCGGCGGGGGTGCAAGGACCGGGTTTCGGCCGGGGGCGCGAGGGTCCCCCAAGAGTTGGGGGCTGCATTCCGCCCCCGGTGCGGGGGGCGGCGCCTCGAGGAGGACAGGGAAGGGCCGGAGACCTCAGAGGAAGGAGGGGCAGCCCTGGGTGCACGGGGCCGGCTGGCGGCTTCCTCGGTGCCCCTGCATGTCTTTAGAGCTCAGGAGGTCTCCCGGTCCAGCCTGGGCGGGGGGCGGGGGGAGCAGCAGGGGGTCCGGGTCTCCTGGCCCGCAGGGTCCTTGCTCGGTTTCCGAGACTGAGGGGGAGAGTGCGCTGGGGACTCCCGTCCGAGCTGGCAGGCGGCAGAGGCCAAGCGCTCCGGTCTGGAGCCCTGGACACGGCCCCTGCCCCGGGCGCCTGAGGTTAACCCCGCGGTCAGAGGGCCCAGCGCCCATTAGGTAGATGGGGAGATGGAGGCGGGAGCGGGAGGCGGCTGGACCGGAGGGGGTGGCCGGGGAAGCCCAGCGGGAGGCGGCGCAGGGCCTGTCTCCCTCCGCCCGGGAGTTGGGAGCAGCCTCACTTCTGCGTTCTCTGCAGCTGAGGTCATGGAGGAAATAGCAGGCGGTCCGGCCGGCTGCCAGGGCCCGCAGCCCCCAGGAGGGCCGGGGAGGGGGTTGGCGCTGCCCCCACCGTGAATGGCCTCCCGGAGACCTCGGGACCCCAAGGCCAAAGCCCAGAGGGAGCCCGGTGCGAATCCCATTATCCAGGAGGCGGGAGCTGCTCCGCATTCACTGCTGGGTGGGGCCGGTGGGGCCGGTTACGGATTCTTGCACCCAGCTCCCTGCCCCCTTTTATGG